TAAGGGCAAACGCGGCCCATCGTAGCAAAGAGATAGATCGTTGTCGAACATCCTCCGAGAGATGCGAGATTCCCATCCATTCTCGGTCATAGGTCTTCTTCTCAAGACCAGGAGGAGTGGAATTGATTGCTTTTTCAAGTTGTTTTGGACTTTTCCAGTCCTGAAGCTGACTCTCCTGCATCTGAACCCAGAGGAACTGTCCGTTACAGCATTCAGTCAGCTTCTGAGAAATATCACCCTTTGTCGCCTCTGTCATTTCTGATAACTTCTTGTTCACTATCCGTCGAGAAAACTTATCAAGATCAGGCCGGACGTCCTCAGGTGTGATACTGTGCTGGATGACAGTGCCAGCATCTGGATTGAACTCGTTCACAAGGCAAGCCCGGATCTCTGGCTCATCGCGACTGACAACCAAAAGTCGAGTAGATGTACCAGCAATTGCTTGTTTCAATGCATCCAGAAAGTCAACGATCGAAGCCCCATCGTTGGACTTATGGTCCTGCTCAACCCATCTACATTCATCGAGACCGTCTAGGACAAATGTGCAACGAGGTATCTTCATGACAAGTTCGCGTAGAAGCTTTAGTGTATCGCCCCGCGTTGCTCTCTGTCCTTGTTGCGTGGTCAATCTCTCGCGGGCCAGAGAAAAAAAGTCAGGGTGGCGTATCATTTGGGATAGCCATGATCTGATCGCGATAAATGGGTTTCTTCTGCTTTCAAAGTCGGATGAAAAGAAGAAATGAGCAACGGGGTCATTCGAATTGGAAGAAAGATAGTCAATGACTCTCGCACATATGACTGATTTCCCAAAGCCCGCTGGACCATTGATCCAGAGAACTTTAGCACGGCCACTTGGGAAGTCTGGTGAAGTCCAGTCAAGGAACCAAGACTGATCCAAAACCCACTCGCAAGTGCCTTCGATTTTCCGCTCTGAGAATATCTCGTACAGGTCGTTCGTAGAGGTGGAGCTGAGCAGCCATGCGTGTAGATCTCGTCTATATTCATCTGAAACCATGGATCATGAGCTAATGAATACAAACGAAGAATGTGGTAGGGTGACCTTCGATCTGAGTCTCCATGTTTTTCAACATATCTTTCAGCTCAGTTTTCCATGCATCTGCCTCCGACATTCTGTCTAAAAAGTGAATGAGCATTTGAAACCCTCAAGACAGTGACACATGGCCACATACCACCAGTGGGCTTTCTGCCCTTATGTTCCTTTGGACCCTCGATTGGTATCAAGTCATGAAGAGTCTCCACCAATTTAGAGAATTGGTCAACTTGGGCGACTCGCTTAGCTTTGGTTCTCAGCACCCATCCAAGTTTCTGGCGCTTGGATTCGCGGGGAGTATGGCGGTAGGATAGTTGGTCCTTGGTTGGTTTTTCATCTTTTCCCAGCATCGGTGTCAAAAACGCTTTATCCTCATCACGGCAAACAGCATTGATCGCCAATAGGAGCTCTTTAACAGTCGACTCAATCTTTGGGTCATCAAGAAGGGCGTTGTGCTCATATGAGAGCTCGTCATCTTCCAAGCCCACAGCTAGACCCCATTTTGTGAGTCGTAGCTTTTGGGCTTTAAATTGGGCGACAAGAGAACGAAACTCGGAATCATAATCTCTCCACGAATCAAATCTTTCAACGGCATCCAAACAGGTACTAAAGAGACCTGCAAGTCCTATAATTCCGACAGCAAAGCTGACGGGCTCCATGGAGGATATAGCTAGGTATTTGTTGCACTTCCAGAGTTGTGCTATAACGTCGAATGCTTGAGTAACTGTGGGGCTGACCCCAGGAGGGGCAACCTTGGGAGAACGTTTTTAGCCCCAAATTAGGGGCTATTTATATAAGCAAGGCTGACAGTGCGCTTTTTCAGCCTCAAATATCAAACACTTCCAAGGTCTAAGAGGAAACTGCTCGAATACCTCCAGAGTCTTACGCCGGAGATGAGATGTCAGCGAGTTTCTGGACAAATCCCATCTTTACTTCATCACAACCAGGATTTCCATGCAAAACAGTCCTGAGGTTTGATATGATCCGATAATTTCTCCCCGTTTGTCGACTGGAGGTTGACGCAAGTCTACTAAAATCTAGGTAATATCTACATATGTAGGTAGTACCACTCGTTTATTGCGTAATGAGGAGTTTCCTAAGATAAAGGCAGATGTCATCAAGAAACGTCGGTATCAGCTGGATTTCCGGCACCTGCTAGTGTGTCAGCGAATGCATCGTGTTACTGGCCACTTGGTCGCTGACTATGGCAATGGGTATTTTGAATTCGATCACAGCACTGAATTACTATAAGGGGCCGATTGCGACGAGCCGGAGGAGAGTTCCGAAGCCTCGGCCTTAAGAGTATAATCCCACATACCACAAGTGGGTCCATAGGCTATAGCCAGCATCCCGATCTACATCGTTGCGATTGAGAGCTGCTCGAGGGGGCGCAGATGATAGACTATGCATTCCTGCCTGTGAAGTATATTGATTCCACGGGTTACTAGCAGTATTCCGTGGGTTGTGCAGATTTTGTTGTCTATTTCAGAAATTCCGAAGAAGAAAACAGATGTCATCATGAATTTTGTAGTTTAGCCAAACGGCCACGAAAAGACATACACCAGTCTTAGAACCAGCCATGAGAATGAATCGCCGTATTTAATGTACAAAGCTTCGACACAGGCCGTAGGAGGCGGCATTAAAAGCGAGGGCGGAAAGTAGGAACAAAACGGGAGCCTCGGTGCTATGTTGTTTGGGAATAATGACATCAACCGAACGCCTGAGAAGAGAGACTTGATGTGAAGATGTTGTTATGAAGACAGTGATAGAAGGGAGGATATGTTGACGGCGATCGAAGGGGGGTATGAACCGAGGAGAGGATTTAAGCGAGGGCCTTCTGTTCCGACGGGGGAAGGGGAGGAAGCTAATAATGTTTATGGTTAGCAATCACATCTAATCGTATACTGATCAAGAGGATAGAAAGATCGACATACCTCGAGCTTTGTGTTATCGGCCATCATGCGCTGGAAACCAATACCGACACCCTCGATGACAGCGAGGAAGACAGCACACATAATAGCGGAGTTTCGGGCAGCCTTAAAACCACCACGGATAGCGAGGGAGCCACCAGTAAAGAAACCAGCAATGATAGCGTTATAGGGATCTTCCTTCTTGCGGATACCCTTAATTGAACAGTCGTAAATACTGAAGAGACCTCCCCAGCAGCCGAAGTTACCACCGAGAACGGGGGCGCGCGCTTTGATTGCTGTGAGCGCACCTATCCGGCGCTCGCCGTACGGGCTGTTGCGGAATCCCTTAACACCGTGCCAGACAGCACCACCAATAGCACCCATGGCGAAGGCACCGCCGAAGTCGCTCAGGGCAACCCAGGGACAGGGATCGCGTGTGTGATCCATGATGTGTGAATGAGGTGGATGGGCGAAGAGTCGGGAAGAAAGGGCGGATCACCGGGACGAGATAAGTTGTGAAAGGCGCGAGAGTCGTAAAGGTCGAGGATTTATAAATGGCAATAAACCCAGCGGTGACACGAGATAAGATGGAGGATCAATGGTTTAAGAAATTCCAGATGGGGTACACGTGACCTGGAAAAAGTCCCCTGAAAACTTTGCAAAGTTTGCATGAAGTTAATGCCTCAGGTGTGAACTGTGTCTTTTCCATTGGGTCATGTGATGACCCCTTCCCTGCAAAGCGTACTTCTCACTCTTGTTTTTTTTTTGGCTAACACTCACTCTCATTTTCCCTATTCTAGGCGTCCCAAAGCTACCTGCACCGTCGACGTGGCTTCTGTAGTCGACCGGGCTACTAGCCGTGTACGACGCGCAGCTACGAGCATACGGGTCCAACATTGTCGACCTTCTTCGCGTAATGTGGGAGCTTTATTCGTCCCGCGAGCACTAGACACTGCTGTAAGACATGGCATTGGAGCAAGCAAATCTGCATGTTGGCATTCCCTACCTGAAGCACTGGACTCGCGTCCTCTATACCATTATCGCAGGTAGCATTCTATTATATCTTGAAAAAGGGATATACGCCCAGCGGTATCGGACACCTAGTGTTCGCAACTGTCGGGCACCTAGCATATGCCGAAATGGCTCGATGCCGCTAATAGAGCTTTTGTATCTAGTTTGCTACCTTGCTGAAACTGTGCAGCGAGGAGGTAAAGTCTGGGATAGCTACCTTACCGTGGGCGTGGCATGGATAACCGTCGTTGATTTCGTAGACCATGTTGGGTCTATGGAGGTAAAATTCTGAAGGCATTGATTTTAAATCTCGAAAAGCGTCATTAGAGCTAGCTTAAGGTATCCTAATCAGCCTATAAGTCAACCACATCAAATTCCAGTACTGTAATATTCCAAGTAGGGACCCAGGTTATATATAAAAACAAGGACGAACCAGGATATAGCGACATAAATAAAGATAAAACATAAGAAATAAAGTAAGTTTAAAGAAATTATTTGCTAACTGCCGACCTAGGAATATATAGATCGGCCTTAGCTTATCAAAAATACATACGATAAAGAGATAAAGGAATTTATCCTAGATAGTATTCAATACATTGCTCATCGTTTGATATAATCTCAGCTTTTCTAATAGAAGAAGAAATATCGAGTCACATTAAGTACTTCTAAGGTTTCGAGAGATATTATAAGCAAGGATATCCAGGGGAACTGCCTACAGAGATCGAGGTAAAGTAAGGCTAGTATATCATTAAAGTCACTCAGCAATTAAGTATTACATAAAAGACTAAGCTGATAGGCTAGTAATTCTCTGTATAGGCCCCTATGGCATGATCCTCATAGTCCGTCTCGCAGTCCGTCTCACAGCCCATAGCGTGGCGCTGCAGAGACAGCAACCCCCGTACATTAAGATAGTCCAGCCAGCTAGCATACCAATCCAAGAATTCTAGAATAGAATCAAAGCGTGCCTTCCAGCCGTACAGAACGCTAGGATTGATAACCTCTGCCTAGAAGAGAACCACTTGCCACCCTTAGTCTCGGACATTAGCAGCATCCTGGATGTCTTCACCCTTGTGCTTGCCATTCTCCTCGTCGTCTTCCGTCTTCAGCCGGTAGTACACATACGCACTATACCACGATTGGCATTGGTACAGTTGGTTAAATCCAATACCGGCGATAAAGCCAGCCCTGACATCCAGATCCTCGTCGATATACGCCTTCAACGTGTCATTCGACAACTCATCTTCCAGCTCCTGCTCCAAGGCCTCTCGCCCACGCTTCAGTAGCTCCGGATCCGCCAACTTGTCGCGTTTCTGTCCCTCATCAAGTCCGTCCAATTCCTCGTTCTTGACCCCAATCGACCAAGCCGGTGTGAACGGCGCAATACTCGAGCGCCGCACGTTACTTTTGGTTTGCGGTGGCCATTCTGCTACGGAAGCGGGCGATAGCAAGGCGCATGGTTCGTCTGCATTTGTGTCTGAGGCTGAGGCTGAACCTGCCATTGGTATTGTTGAGGACATATTCTTGTTCTTTGCGTCCGTAATTATTGGTTGTCCTTTTTTTGGTTGGTATTTTGGTTATTGTTTTCTAATTTCTTCTTTATACACCGGGCTTCAAAGGTTGCTGAGAGGTTTGCAGACAGAAACTGGATCTAGAATGATTAAAAAATCGACTAGCTTGAGTTAGTATGGTTTTATTTTTATTCTTACAAAATGGATCCATGCCCGTAGTTGTCCTCGGCGGTGTGTTTGCTTGGTCATGAGACAAGCCCTGAAGCCCTGCCCAGAGCGCCCAAGTGGGCCTGTGGAACTGGGCAGCTGGAGGGCTCCACCAGGTCCCACCTGGGTGCGGCAGCTGGCGCCGCTGCTATTCCTAGAAGCAGCATGTCAGCACTGCAAGTAGATTATTTGCCGTTTTACGAGCAGCGAGGAACACCAAGACCCACGACACATCGATTCAACTACAGTGGATACTCAAACATCACCAGAATCGGGTAGGCCCTACATATATATATTGTTAGAGGTCGTCACCTCTTGCACTCTTTAGCTAAATGGTTTTCGCTAGCCCAATCAATGATGGTCATCTAAATTGTATTACCCACAGAATCCATTCTCCTGACGAAGGATTTGAATATATAAATAGGTAGATTGTGTTAATTCCCACGAGGTCCTCCAGTGAATGAATGCTTGACATACAATCCCTAGAGCTTTGAGCATATACAGAAGTCATTTGCAAAACAGACGGGGAATGAAACAAATAAGTCTATTCTCTATGCATCAGAAGAGCTTCCGCTAACTACCAGCTTCATGTGCGCTATCTATATTCACAGAGAGGTCACACGACATCCTGTGAAGTAGGCGGCTTTTATTGCGCGGGCTTGCGAGTGATACGATTGAGATACTATTTTTCGACATGGTGCTTATACTTATTGAGGATTTTAAAGTAAAATAAAATTTCCAATTTATTGACGAGGCTTATCTAGGCTATCGAGTCGAGGTGTATATGAGAACAAGTGACTCTAAAAGTCAACACAAAGACCGAAGCGGGTTGGTGCCTATGGTAATAGCCGAATCGAGCTACGGGGTGAGTATACTGGTAGACTTCCGTACGCGCCGTGGCAATTTGTTGTCTGTGCTAGAGGGTGGGCCTCTGTTATATTGATTTTAATGTTTGTACGCGATTATCTGCTCATTATTACTTTCGGTAATGGACAGAGGAAACAATCGCCGAGGTACGTATTCATCATCACCCCTACATCGCACCTGAGGTCTGCTTGTTGGCCGAATTCAACCTATAATCTCAATGCCTATGGCATAGGGGCAGATGGGGCTACAAAAATGAGAGGCTGATTGGAGTCGTGCCTTGGGATAATAGGAAGTGATTCTCTACATCCGGGATATTTCGGAACATGGCCATATCATCACCTACTAGCACACAAATCGGGAAAAGAACAAGTCCCTAACCCCACAGACCACACCAGTTTCCGAGATAAAACGAAATTGAGAGTCCTACTCATCAACCAGGGCCTATTCCAAGGGCGGCTGCCCGTTGTTAACAGGAATGCTGGTGTTATAGGAGCCGAAACAGGCTTCCTGGAACATCGCCTGCTTCGTAAGCTGGGGCACCTGGCTGATGAAACTCTGCACTGGGCAGAATCCATTGACCGACCCATCGCAAGCTGACAGACCATCCCATGGTATGGGAGCATTGTTCAACACCAAGCGAATGTATTTCTCCGTGTCAGATCTGGACGACATATTCCGATTCTTGTACATCTGCGGTTGAAGATCGCCGAAGGAGGTGTTCTTGGGGCAGTTCCAAATCTCAGCAACTAGATGAGCTCCAAAGGGCGTGATTTCATTCAGCTTGAAGTGGCGCTTCGGAGCATGTGCGACAGTAGAAGGCAATCTTTTTGGGTTATACTTGAAGAAGTCTAGCCCCAGCGCGGTCAGGACGGAGATGATCGTATCGTCGTGCGACATATCCATAAAGAGAGGCTGGTCAAGTGGGAAATATTTCTCGTTGTCGTCATATGTAGAGTTGATGCTGCTGTCGCTGCTTTGAATCAGCTTGTGCTGTAGCCGCGCCGCTAGCTCTTGCACATAGCCAATGCCCTGGGCGCGGCCGCTTGGAGAGCCGAATCCGTACATGTCGTAGTATTGGAGATCCAAGTAGTATTCAAAGTCGCGCCATTCTTGCTCAGTAAACAGTGAGCAGAAGGATGAGCTGCCCAGCGTGGTATACTCATAAGGACATAGGTTGAACATGCCTAGAACTTCTTCAGCGGCGATTTCCGCTGACTTCGAGAAAAAGTCTTCTGGTAAGAAGGGGGCAAAACGTGTTGCGGCAGTCTTAATCATTGCGGGAATGAATTCAGCAGCTGCATATGCCCCAGTAATTAGGCCCTTCGTACATGTATCCGTTGACGATAGTGTGTTATTGAAACCCGACTGTTCGGGGATAATAACGAGTTCATACTGTGGATAGGAACTATTAGCTCCTATGTTGGTAAAGAAGCCACCTGTAGTAAAACGAAATCAGTCAACCGTACTCAATTCAAAAGTCTGTGGATCCACTCACTCAGCCACCAGCGTGCACTCTCGAGTATACGAGGATAAGAAGTGGTGCGGAAGACAGGCTTAGGGCGAGGCTTGCCATTCGGGAACTCATTCAGTGTTTTGTTCCAGTTTGCCTCTCCGATGGAAGCACCATACAGCAAACGACCATATTTACTCCAGAAGTTCGCGCCGGAGGTCGCCTCTGTGGCTGCGCCAGTTGGGAGCAGGTCCTCCACGCCCAGGAGATAGTCCCAATCGTTTAAGAAGGCAAGCGGCCCGGTACCAATCTTAGTGCCAGGGTGTTTCCTCGAGGCATTCTGCAATGCAGATGCAAATGCTTCCATTGATCCCGCGTCCACGGTACTGTCCGTCGGGTAGCGTTGCCCATGCCGGTGTAAGATGTGCACTTGCAACAGCTCACAACCTTGCGGGAAACCCTTGGGTAGGTTGAAGCTGGGTGCGTCCGCGTACGGACTGAGATTGCCCCAGCTCTTCTTCATGTCAAATCCGGACTGATAGGATGTTCCTGTTGGAGCGGCGACGGTCGAGCTTGAAGTCATGGATGTGCTTCCAGTGCCGGGCAGAGCACCACTGCCACCCACAAGGGTAAGCAATGCGGCTGCAGAAGTAACCAGAGCTACCATTATGATATAGCTGCTTCTGGAAAGTAAACGATGTAGTGAGAGCGAGATGTTTGTAGGAATTGGCGGTAGTTCATATACCCAACGTTGTGTTGATCGGCAGACCGAATTTCCCCTGTGCCGTGCGCGAGATCGCTTGTTCCTTTTGCTTACAACCCTGCCGTGCCGTCATTTTCTGGAGGCTCAATTCCCAGGTAGCTCATATCCACCCAATTCCAAATCTCCCGCTTACGATGATGGTTGCGAGAAAGGGGGCCAGAAACATCCGAGTTGCCGGATTAGGAACAGATAATCACCCCTAAGTCAGACTGATAGCTGTATCTCGTTCCACTTGAAAGCTCGTATATCTCAAAAACTGAATACGGTAAGTGAGATGCTTTTGGCCCCCATCATAGTACTATGTAAGTGGGAGATGTGGATTCAGGTCCCACTTCCAAGAGATTTATCCGCATTGGCCAATCAGGAAGCTATATTCTGCAGATCAACTCAGCACTGACATGTAGCGCCTAGTCCTATTCCAGTATGTGAGATGCTCCGCCAATCAAACAGTGGCCTGCGGGGCAACGCTTTGATCTCGAGACAACACTGAGCTATAAAACAAGGTGAACTGTGATACCGCTGGGATCCAATCAGAACGTCCTATATCATTGAGCAACGGAAAAAAAAGTGGGCTTTTATAGAAATCTTGTATCATTTTGGGAAAAAGGAAAACGTAAACTCATCCCGGTGCTTCTGATAGACACCATATTTCCCAAATCTGGTAAGTAGACTGCGTCAGATAGGTAGACGAGACGTGGGGTGAGACTCTGCCATGTCCCACAGAAGACCTTTTAAGGGCCTTCTCCCGTAGGGATCTAGCTATCTTCCGAAAAATATCCTTGCTTCATATTTACAACTCCCACTGCCATAATCATAATCATGGGCAAAGGGCTCGCCAGACTTATCGGTTCCGGCATTGGCTTCACCTCTGAAGCCATTCATGCAGCCCGAACCCGTAACAAAGACTCTACTTCTTCTTCTCCTTCTCCTACTGCATCTACCTCAGAGACCCCTCGCTCAATTGCTGGTTTGCAAAGAGAGAGTGGTAACTATATGGCTGCCGAAAACCAGGGAAATGGTACATCCACCCGTGAAGACTTCATAGAGCTACCAATTCGCGAGGGCCATCCAGAGCTGGGCAGCGATAGGGAGCTACTCCCGGAATATGAGCTTTCGTCCTACTCACTCGACTCAAAAAGACAGAGCAGAACAACAGAAGCGGAAGACCCACTGGAATTTGACGAGAAGAGAGGAAGCTATCCTTCTGTGATATCCAACGACTACAATGACACTGTCGACACCAAAAACGACCGGGAGCGCTCGATGGATGGTGATGAGGCTGCATGGCAACTTGATGAAGCAACCGAAGAATTTGATTTGCCCATGTATCATCAATCGGCATCTCAACCCGGTGCACAAGGTGACCAGAGGAGCTTCGAGATGGGTGCTGAGAATGACCCTGAGGAGATCAACGCGAATGATTCCGAAGATGAGCAGGCGAAAAAGAGAGAGCGCATGATTCGCGCACTCGTCGCGATGGCCGGACCACCACCAGCGCAGCCGCAGCGACTCCCATACCCTGTGATTATTCCTCAGCGCAGGCCCGGCGCTAAGAAGCGTGGATTTGTGCGTGCTTATGCGCCTGTTTTGGCCGACTGTGGCATAAGCCAAGATGTGTTCCTGAAGTTCATCAGTGACTTCCATAAAGCGAGCCAAGTTGGTGACCCTCATTACTTAACGCCTTTTTTATATCCATTAGAGTTGCATTTACTTACCCACTGTTATCATAGGCTTCCATGTGGCTCCAGGTCATCGTTGTCGCAGCCAACATTACCAGCTTCTCTCCTTCATTAGCAGTGGCATTGACTGCCGCGGCTATTCAGATTGTAGCAGACACAGCACAGCAATTCCAAATCCGCCACCGTACAAACACCTACCTTGATAGGGTGAATCAGGAAATTTTCATACCTCGCGGCCAATACGCCATGGTCATGAAATTCTCAGATCGGCCTCCTAAGCCCACGAAGGAACAGAAACAGAACCTGAAACAGAATGCAAGCTCCCTCGGTTCAGAAGCTGAGAGAATCGGCGGACTCTTCTCAATGGAGCAGGTCAGCTTCAATCAAGCTAGTGCGCCAGCAGGAAACGATTCCAGTCTAAATCAGCCAACAAGACCAGAATTTGATGCCGCAGCAACGATATCCAAGTTCACCCACAGCGAAGAGCACCCACAAATGAACGCATGGAAGCAGCGCATGAAGCATTATCGACTACAAAGTGGCGCGACTCAAGGCGAGATGCAGCTACCAGACTGTGCGCCGCTGGTATTTCCGGATATCGATCGAGCCGCTATACGGGTAAGGGATGGCCTGGAGCCGAAGTCAAAGTTTCAGTCTGGAAGAACCTGGGTTCGGGACTATATCGACAGAAAGTCACAAGCATCATTCGTGAGTACCATCTTCTCTCACATTCCTATACATTCATGAAGAGTAGATATTGACAAGGAGCAGGAAGTCGATCATAAGGGGTCTGTGGTAGCTGTCCCTGAGTCAGGGCGCAAGGCATTCACTTCACGCTATAATGACCCCAACCACCCGGCGAATAATGGAAATCTTATCTCGGCCCTTAGCGGTGGCCTGTATAAGCCAAAGCCAGGCCTGATTGAACGTGCCGGGATTGCCATCAAGGAGTCTCAAGACAGGAAGCGAGCTGCTCAGGGCCTCCCTCCTAGTATAACGTGGAAAGAAAAATGGACCAAAAAGAAGAAGGAAATCGGCAGTCGAATTAGGATTCTAAGCGAGGACGTGATGTATCTGATGATTGTCAACATGCCCACCGAGGAGGAGCTGAGTGAGTCAGTTGCCAAGTTGCAATATCTCGCGCAGCAGGGAGATCTGGGAAGAGACCGGGCAGGAGGGCCATCTATCGGCGTGAATCCACTCGACGTGGCTGGTGTAGTAACTCTTGCGGCTGCTGTTGCTTCCTAGTTATGACTTCCAATGTTTCCTATCATTTATCAATGAAACGCTGAAATGTATATCTTCCCCTATATTGACTTTTCAAACCTTACATAGATTTAATCGATTGATGAAGTTCAAACAAAAATATGGGACTAGCTCTTCAAGTTCGTTTGGCATCAACTTTGTTATCTTAATCTAACAACAGCTGCACCTCCTTTTAATAGTTTCTATGTTTGGACTAGCGTCATATAACTTCTCTCTCAGACAGCTAGACAGCGAGCTAATGCAACCATCTCATTTCATACCACCCTTCCTCATATGCTCCCCAGGACTATATCGATGCTCCACTGTGGTTTTTTGCTTCCATCTGATCGATTGATCCATCTCGTAGACCGCCTTGAGCACACCTCTTCACTAGATAGGACTAGTGTGGTCAGCCAATGTAGTGCTCGCTTTGCAATCCGATGACCTTGGGATGTGCGCTCATGGTGAAGCCTTGGCAAATCTGATGAGGATGGGGATGTCGTGACATTAGACTCTTGCTGTTCTGAAATTCCGCATTCTCGACGATACCGACAGAACGTGCACGCGGGGTACACTGAGGTGTACGTGTCGGTGGGGCTGGTTGTGGAAGATCTGCAGAACCTGAACCTGAGCTGAGGCCTAGGCTTCAATTGTATCCCGAGATCAATAATATTTATTGAGCCTCTGGCAATTACCCCACGTCATACTGGCTAATGCAAAGCTTACGTTTCACAGGGGCTCTTTTTATCTCCCTTGTTTCCCCCTTTTGACGAATTAATATGGCCCCCAACACGTCTCATCCACGAGTTTCCAGGAATTGCGGGAACTGCCGAGCTGTCAAGCGACGCGTAGGTGCCGATCCATTTTGCTTCTCATTTTTTCTCGTGTCCGCTAAACCAGTGCTCATTTTGCCCTGTTTTCATGTAGTGTGATCAGCAGTCTCCCAGTTGTGGACAATGTATTCGAATGCGCGAAGAGTGTCTTGGCTATCGAGATGAATGGGCCCTCGTCTTTCGTGATCAGACCGACCATACGATCAAGCGTTCCAAGAAAATAGAAACCGAGAGTGCCACTGATAAATTGCCGTCACCCGCCCGCAGGCTGAACCCCAGCGCAGACGAGATAGGCGTCAACTATTTTTTCCGCAACTTTGTTGTTGACCAGACCTCTTCACGTGGGTGTCTAAACTACATTCCATCTGTTTTTCGCGACGATGGCGGGCACCCGACTCTGGTGGCCAGTATGGCGGCCGTAGGCCTCGTAGCGTTGGCCAATTCGACTCAACAGTCCGAGCTGGCGAGTATTGCGCGAGCCAAATATACGGAGGCAATCCACAATGTGAACACCGCGTTGGCATCGCCTATCGACTCTCTCAAGGATAGCACCTTAATGTCGGTGATCTCGTTGGGGGTTTTTGAGCATGTTTCTGAGCACAAATCGTGGATTCGACATGTGCATGGCGCGGCAGCGTTGGTGCTTGCCCGGGGCAAAGGCCAGTTCACTAGCCCAGCCTCAATCCTGATGTTCAATCAAGTGCGCGCTGATCTGGTACTTGCCTGTGTCCACGGGGAGAAACCGTTTCCGAAGGACATGATTGAGCTGCAAGAAGAGGCAGCCAAGCACACGGACGCCTCTAGTGCATTTTGGCTCCTGGGGGTGTTGGGCACCCGGTGCGCAAATCTTCTGATGGGCGTCAGGGAGAATAAGACGGTTTCTTTTTGGCCTGAATACTTGAACGAAGCGACCATCATTGAGTCTGACCTCCAATACTCCGTTGAGCTCTTGGCAATACAAGAACCATATACAACCACCCATGATTCTGGTGGGGCATCAAGAATGATTTATAATGGTCGAATTGATCTTTATAAAGACTCTTGGGCAATTCGGGTCTGGAACAACTTGAGAAATCTTTACATGATTGTCTGCGAGATTCGATTATACCTCTTGAAAAAGATTCTCGTCACGGATCCTACACTTACCCTAGCCTTCCAGGAGTCTTTGAAGCTGAAGCTCCAAATAACAAAACAAACCCTGTCAAAGCTGGGGGACGATATACTGGCCACTATTCCACAAGCATTGGGATTCCTGTCCTCGGTGTCTGAACTCTGCCCCTCTGTCGATCTCTCTTTTCAAGGCAGCGTGTCGGGCGGGTATATCTTGACCTGGTGTCTATACATGGTAGGAAAATGCCCGGCCACAAAGGGTGAAACCCGAAAGTGGGTCATCCAACGTCTCCAAGATTTTGGTTGGAATATGGGCATATCAATTGCGCTGCGCCTAGTCGAGGATATAGTTAAGATCGACCAGCTTGCGAGCTGAGCATCATTGATCCAGGGCTCGGATACAAATATTGGTTCAACGCTCGCACACAGTTGGTGCGATTGATGTATAAACTTTTGAGGCTCAGCCCCCATTCAATGAAGGGGCCGCCGTGAAATCCCTCACACTATGCAAATCACCTTGCAAACAAATAAATACCGCCTAACACTCTAGAAAGCATTTGATTAGCGTATCGTACGTGAATATTAAACCAAAAGGAAGAAGAAAATAACATTATCTGTCATCGTGAGCTAGCGCCTGTTATGCCAGAGAAATACCACTTTATAGCACTTAGATAGGCTTTGTAGCTCTGAAGACCCTAAATTTACTAACCAGCCTAGTCCGACTCTTCAATTTCTGGAACTGTTCGTAGAAGATTATATTAGAACACGAAAGGGATTCCTTCTTGGAAGTTGGCTTATCACATTTTCCCAGCTTAACATTCAAAGGTGGTCATTTTCGGTCTCAATTCCGCAGGTCGTCATATTCTACTTATATTTATCTTTATCAAATAGCTCTCTCGATCAAGCACTAAAGAACTTCAACCTTCTGCTAACCAACCTTCATATTTTGCAATCGCAAGTCCGGACATAAGAATGAAAGCACGATTATCCTCGGTCTGAATTTCAGCCATCTTCGACCCGACCCCATCAAAGAAAATAAACCCATCATGATTCATCACGGCAATGGGGCTTCCAGCTATAACGGGACCACCGATCAATGAGTGAGTTTCGCTGACTCGACAGACTCGAGCATCTCGATTTACAGCAAATGGGAGGTCTGCCGGGAGGTCCTCGGAAGGTCGCCAGCTATTCTGGAACTCCCAAATCAACGTTTTCGATGCTACATCTTGATCTCGGCGATCATCTTCACGCTTGAATTGATAATGTTCTTCGCCAATTTCAATCCAATTCCAGCGCTCGCCGTTTGGCAAGAATAAGTATCCTCGGTGGCAGTTGCACACTTTACAACCATACCAGGGAGGAGCGTCGACATCAACACCAGCCACTAAGCCTTCTGTACTAAACGAAATAGCATTTGTGTCCTTTGTCTTCAACGCTTCCATATCATCTTCGTATCCTGTCACGATGAAGTCGGTCTTGTTTCTGAGCTTGACAGGGTCGGGCCCCAGCTGTGTGAGAGAGATACCGAAAAGTCCTGGACGCCAGATGTTGAAGATTGGCCATACAGATCCCTTGTTCCAATAGGTACATTGATTGATCTGTAAGGATAGCTTCGGCGCCAAGGAGACAAATGGTAGACAAAAATTGGTATTTGCGATCGAAGGAAGGTCTGGTCGCGATATGTCATAGTACTCAACGCATCTGGTCTCCGATGGGGCCGAATAATGACCTGGCTCGGCTCTAGAAGCATGGCTAGATTAGCTTGTCGGTCCTTATGGTCAGTGATGTGAGGTAGCTTTACCCAGGGATCATCTGCTCGCCAACAGCGCTAGACATCGTTCCCAGGAGTTGAAGGTAGTGACTGGGGGCGTCAAATTTTCCGATACAGCGAAATTTCACAGGGAAATGGCAAGCACTTTTGCAACAGGATCATTTTCGGGGGTAAAAGCCCAAAGAACAGATAACCCTTCCCACAGAGCCGCAAGGTATCGTGATGTGGGGCCAGATTAAGGGGAAGGACCTCGGCTTTTTTCCTTAGGTATCAGCGTTTTTGGAGCTTTAGGATCCAATATAATCGGTTTTTGCTATCGGCAATATTGCACCGTGCCGAAGCTAGTCCTAGCAAAGTTTTCTATTTTGAGCGACACGGTCATTGCGCGCAATCCGATAGCAGTTTGTCGAAAACTTTCAGTCCCTATCTGAGTTGGATGCAACTTGCTATGCAGCTTTACCTTGTTGAGCTATCTATATATTCGCGATACCTGTTGACCAAATCCAACGGTCTAGATCCAATGAAAATCGTGCCAAGTCGACCAACACCCGGGAGGTAGTGGGGCCCCAGCGGATAACAAATTCTCATCAGATCACAAATTGCAAAATTAAGTATCTTTTATATGGTAACCCCATACACAAGAGACTTATATGCGATAAAATCGTAACTGAACTTTTTTTAACACTCAGATTAGTTAGGGAGAATATATGTATATAGAGTGTCAATGAAGCCTTAATCACTTAGCATCTCCTACACCACTGGCTGAGCGGCCTGTCAGTGCACAAACCTAAAGGAGTTCTCACCTGGGTCTCACCCCCTTTGTAATTATCTTGTAATTATCTTGTACAACATACGCCCAGCTAAAGAAAAAAACAAGCAATCGACCATGTGTCACCAAGAAATTCTGGGTAGAGCAAAATGTTTGTGCTAGCGTTCACTTTCACTGGGTGGATTGGGTTCTTAATCTCCTGACTTGAAGAGTGTAGAGTAAGTAGGCCGGACTGTTATCGTGATATTTGTAACTTGGTAAAATGTGCTATAGCAATCAGTGTAGGTTGACTTTATCAGCCCGTTGGTTAATGGCTTAATGCGGGTTGGGTATTTACACGCACACCATTAAATAAAATATACATATATATGTAAACACTTTCGATTATATATTTTACACTGCCAATGTATCCAATGTGTTAAATATATGTTCGATTTAACCCCTTCCAAAGGCAAACAATAATCCACTCAATCAATTACCAAGAATTTTATGTCTTCATAGCTATCTAGCTTTTGCAATAGATTATAACGAGTTTGGGGGATTAAACGTTTGTTATAACTAAGGTTGGAGGCTAGAGTGACAAAGCAATTAGAGTTCTGGAGATCTAGGGAAGACAGTCGAAAGGTCACTGTTCGATTGTGTATCACAAGTGAACTGTAGTCAAAAATTCTCACGAGATTCATCAACCGAAGCCGGGCTGGCGCAATGGTAGCGCGCAAGACTTCTATAAATAGAACAAAATCCGAGTCCCTGGTTGCGTGCACTGAGCTCACGCTGTGGGCATGCAGACAGTTGGACTCGGTTGAAATAGCACAGAAGTGTATCTTGAGGCTGCGGGTTCGACCCCCGCGTCTGGCTTTTCTTTTTCTTTCCCTTGCGGAATGGTTCGCTACATCCGGTTCGACCCGAGTGGGGGGTTTTTTTTTCAATTTTTATTTTTACAAGGTACTTACTTACTACATTATATACTCCGTACTCCGTACGGAATACATATATATACATCACTTAAGAAGATATAGCGAATGAGTGACTGGGCATAAGTTTCGACACCCCTGGCCCCACCTGGGCATACCCCTATGATTATATAATGTAAGATACTGCCCAGGTGCCTACTTAGGTACCCCTGCCGTGCTAGCTCGGCCGAGAACTCTTTTATATAGAACAAACAGTACAAGCCTCAATCGCCCGATACCCCTCCCTGCTTTGTTGCCAGGAATACCTGTACTGTATGTAATTCGCCATGAGTTTGTTGGTGTCTCATCTCCTCTGGCGGTTATTAAAATACTAAACAGTACCAACATGCACTAGAAATCACTAGAAATCAATACTTTATAGGTATATCTACTATTATCTACACTGCATACATAGCCTACATCATTAGAGAGAGTAGGAGAGGATGAGACTCACGCGAACTAGGTGCAACATCATGTAGGGGTAATAGGGTATATTAGCTATAGTTTTATAACACTTGCGATCTAGCTGACTATACCCTCCAAACAACGAAGGTATAAATACATATATTGATGTACAGCTAAATTTATGCTGTGTACATATACAACTGTGTTGCACTGGGCCACAAACTCTCAATGGACCTTGGCCATGTTCCACGGCGAAACTGCCTCTAGAGTACGAGGTTGATCCAAATATGATGTAACATGGCTCAGTTCCTCAATATCATCCAATTAAATATACACCATCGGCAAGCTAGCACGATAGGGTTGCTCTTTGAATATAAAGTTTGGGTGAATTAGTCAATAGATCCCAAGATCAATTTGATTCGTTGAGTAAATATCGGACGACTAGCGCATTGAAGCTAGAATCCCATGAAACTATGATACATTTTACAGGTCACAATAAGAGCCTGAGTGGACAGCCAGTGGCCCAGTCCTAGAAAATACAAGGGAGGCACCCTGCCAAACTGTTGTAGACCGGCCTGGAGCAAGCGCTAAGAACAAAAGTTCAGCGTCTCTAAGTCTTCAAATGCCTATAGTAGATGAAGGCGCAGAACCTATGTAGTGTGGTTAGAGGTGGAGGGGTATAATGAGAAGATAGCATCATTGCCAGATCAGCGCCACTGAATACCAAAAAGCTTCAAGGCGCTAGTCACATTGGCCTTCTCCGAGGCTTTCTCGAGGACGATGCGAGGGTGCCCTTTCACGTCTAACGCGAGGAGCTGGTACTCGAAATTGCTCTTATCCAAAGGCTTCATCATGTGCACAATGACTACGCCGGAGTTGAGAGGGCCCTCGACCTAAAATTCATGGTCAGTATACGTGTCCCAAATTTACCAGAAAGGGTATCATACATGGAAATGCATGCGAAGGTGCTCACGACCCAATCGATCTTTTTCAGCTGATGATCTAGTCATTGTTAGTATCATTGCTCTAAAGTATTATGTAGAAACCATAGAACCTACGCGATAGGCTTATTCCGTGCCCACCGGCTTGAGGTCTGCTCGCCATATGCTTTGATCTCTCTTCGATCACCGAGCAACTTTATACACTCAGGGTCATCTTTAATGCGCCCTACCGCTGTTTCGAATTGCCATGTCTTGCTGTTTGGCGACAAAACCTCGAGATAGAAAAGTGTGAAGACTCCACCCTAGTCAGACCACAGAGTCAGCAGCTATTCGCCATAGCTTTGTGAACGAATGGACTCAATACCGTCAGTACTGCGCCAGCCAACACGATAACGAAGTTGAAGGATTGTTGTGTTGCCCGCGCAACCTTCTCTCCTCGACTCAAATCGCCCCACTGAACTCTCCCATCGTCGGATAAGACTGTAATGCTTTTCTTCCTTGGCAAAGTCGATTGAGGCCCACTACCTATGTTACTTTGCGTGGCGTAGAGCCGAGTGATCTGTGTCTGTATGCGTGGAGAGGGGTGGAGGACTAGAGAGGCCGGCGGCAGTCGGGGCAAAGCACGTAATTGAATAGAACTCATTGCGAGATATCAAAACCGAGATTTCTGGAACAAGTTAGAATATCTGAGTCGAATACCGAACTCGACCATCTTTGATCTGGGCAAGGTTGTTACCGATCTTGATAATCGGCAGCACGTGATTACAATACAGTAATACAATACGACCAATGGCGGCGATGCCCGCGGCAAAATGGGAGGCGTTGTATGACGATTACACCAGGCACCGGGGTCAAGAGAGTCCACGTTCGCCGTTCCCGACTCGGGGTGCTTTGCTCTTTGCCTTACCTGCTCACATTCTCGCCCAAACCCCCCTTTTCTTTTCTCTTTCCCATTGATCTCTCCACAGTACCATCATGAGTGCCACAAAGGCGCAGTCTCAAAAGATCTTTGAGAAGGCTAAGTTGAAGCCCGCAAACAAGGTGCGCACACCCCCACCCCGTACGCTGCATAATTGCGGCACTCGATTCTGATGTTTTTGCTTTCAGGTGTGCTTTGACTGCGGCAGTAAGAACCCGACATGGTCTTCAGTTCCATTCGGTATTTACTTATGCCTTGATTGTTCGGCTCACCACCGTAATCTCGGTGTGCACATCTCCTTTGTCCGATCAACAAACCTCGACCGTACGTACCTTACCACACAATCTCTCTACACGCCAAATGCGCCGGTAGATCAACGCTGATATTTCGAGCAGAGTGGCAATGGGAGCAACTGCGGGTTATGAAGGTTGGTGGAAATGAGTCTGCGACCAAGTATTTCCAATCGCACGGAGGTTCCGCTGCGCTGGCGAGCAAGGACACCAAGGTCAAATACACGTGCAATGCGGCTGTCAAGTATAAGGAGGAACTCAAGAGGCGCGCTGCGCTGGATGCGCAACAGTCAGTTGATCCAATTTCGGTGGAACTGGCACGACGACGTGCTAACTAGTATTATTGCTTCATCTAGGTACCCCGGTGAAGTCATCATCACAGATATCCCCGCTGGCACTCCCTCAGATGGCTCAAACACCCCTGCTGGTGACGGCGACGACGATTTCTTTTCCTCCTGGGACAAGCCCTCGATCAAGCGCCCGAGCAACCCCCCATCGCGCACCAGTACGCCCCCCGTCGTCAGCCGAACCGGCTCTCCTTTCCTGAACGCTGGTGCCAACGCAAACGGATCCCGCTCGAAATCTCCTCTGTCTGCTTCGGACGAAAAGAGCATCTCTCCCGCGCCTACTGCTATCCGGCCTACCAATGTTACTCGGAAGACCTCTACTGCTGCTAGCTCTGCAAAGAAGGGCAGTGTCCTCGGTGCCAAGAAGGCACCTAAGCTTGGGGCTAAGAAGATCGCCGCTGCGGATATTATCGATTTCGACGAGGCAGAGCGCAAGGCCAA